CATTGGTTCATTTTAGCAAACTTTGATTTGAGGGATACCTTGCAATTTTAAAATATACTCAATTAATTTGAGTATATTTTAAAATTTTGCAAAGCCAGTCATTCCATCTATGGCCTAAAGAAAAGCTAGTTTAGATAGAAAATCCTAATCCTGGAGAATAAGTATATTTAAACCCCTTCCACCTTTCTCTGTAACAGTATTGCACTGTGCCATGTGTAACAGGTAATACTGTTTTACTAAAATGTGCCTGTTTAAGGTATTTGATTATAATAAATTACTAGTTTTTAATTGTGTGGGGTTTATTTAAATATACACGCGGCATTCTGCAGTGATACTTCTAATGCCACATCTTGTTCAAATATGTTGTCTCTGCCAAAGTTAGCAACATGATAAATACAAATCCTTCCTAAAATAATTTACAAAGCATTTTACATCTCTTAAGAGGGCTAGACCGTTTTTCATTATATTTTACAGATATTAGCACCTAATGTACTTTAGAGGGTCAAAATAATCTTTTTGCTTAGCATCTCTCACCTGCAAATATAGCAAGGATTTTTATTTACTTTGATACATCTATAAACTATGCAGAATTTTTTAAATAAAATGTAATATATTTTATAAGCTAATAAGACAGAATGGCTAATTAAAGGTTTCTAGCGTGCATTACTATAACTTGCAAATATGGAGACATTTTGGTAATCTTTTCTTACTAAAGATGTGAATGTTTAATGTACTTTCACTGTTTCTACTTTGGTAGTCCAATGGGAATTCAGTAATGACATTTTGTCATGTCAAACTGTGAACATAAATTTGTACTGTACAGTCCTCATACTATATTTAGTATATTTAGTATATTTAGTATACAGTGCATATGTATTACACTTGTTAATAAAACACTCAGAATGTTGTTTGTGGTCATGTTGTCACGTGCTGGATGACAAAGCAGTGATGCCGAGCTCGGGTCAGAGGCCGGCCTGGAGGAGAGCCCTTGGCTCTGGGCCTTTGGGCAGCCCTTCTGCCTGGCCTGGCCACCTCCGCTGTGTGCCTGCCCCACTCGGGGCCCAGGGCAGGAGCACAAGGGATTTGGGCTGCAGGAGCTGAGGCCTGCAGCATGTCTAGTGGCAAGCTCATAAAAATGTTGTACTTGCTTCTAATTAGGTCATTCTAATTAGGGCATTCTAATTAGCCCATAGGCAGGTGTGGAGCACCAAACACGTGAGTTTGCCTTTTTTATCGCTCACAAGATGACTGACTGGGCCTGCTCCCCACAGCCTCTCCCAGAGCGGGGTGCCAGAGGCTGCTGACGCATCACCACGAGTCCTGCACACCCCCAGACACCTGCAGGCTGAGATAACAGTGATGATGATGAAGAATGGGGTTTTATTTCTTCATACCTTATCAGATGCCTAAGAAGAGGGGGCCTGGCTGAATTCACTATGCATCTAACACTTCCCGTTTCTGCTGAAGTATTTGCACCAGGATGTTGGTCTCTCTCTCGCTGCCTGGGATGCTGCAGATCAGCCTGGTGAGCACCTGTGCTATGCCATGGTGATGTACAGAAGGGAAAGCAGGTACAGCAGAATGAGGCACAAAAATAAAAGCCTGCAAACAGCAATAAGAATATGAGTAAATTACTGGCTAGTATTTCTTGGCCTCCTGCTTGAAAATAAGGACTGCACCTGCACCTTCCAAAGCCAGAGACAGCTCATTATCATGCTGTTGACTTCTAAGATCCAGGCAGGAGGGACCGATGGCATGGGGGAGTCACGGCCGCTGCCCCAGCGTGGCAGCTGCCACGGGAAGAGCTCGTCCTGACCTGTCCTCGCGAGCCTGCACACCTGTAAGAGGCTACTCCAGCTGCCAGCTGAAAAGATTTATCTCTGTTCTACTATGAGTCAAACAGCATTGCATACATTCTACACTGAGTGATCATTTTCAGGAAGCAGTGATAATTTCATCGACCACTGGGTGTCTCTCTTAGTCTGAGAAAAAGGCACAATTTAAATTCATGAGATTGTAATTTAAGATAATCATTTTCTTGAATGAGAAATTTCTTGAGAAATTAAGCTCTTCCCTCTGTCTTATTTGCTATCACTGAGTTCAATCCGGTCATACACAAAATCTGCTCAAGGATTTAAAACTGATCTCTGTGTCTTTACTGCGATTTTTAGTCATAAAAATGCTTTAAATGTAACCTTTACTATTAAACTCTGGCCTGGCTGAACACTAACTAAGCCAACACAATGTTGCTTGATGAGAAATAGTGCCAAATGCTTACTTAGAAAGGAAAACCAACAAACACACCAAACCATGACAAAATGAGTCTGCTTTATCAAAGGAACTCAGAAATGTATTTTAAGAAGGTGTAGTGTATGGTATGTACATAACCAAAATATTTGGCATCTGCATGAAAGATCTGTGAGGTGGGATGGATAGAGTATAAAGGCCTCTTACAGCATTAATATTCCAAAACAATATACATGGCAGACCTGAGAAACTTTCTTTCACACCCACCTAAAACTTACATTTCAGAACAGTCTTAAAGGTGAGGGACTCCTCCACAGCCCAGTCTGTACATTATTTAGGACATAACCCCCAGTTTGCTGATGCATTAAATTTACAGAGACGGGAAAGCCTGAATTAAGAAATTTTACTTCCTCTTTTCTTGTCTAGTAAACAGGATAGACTGCGTGCCTTCTAGCCCATGAGCGCTAAGTGTGACTGCTAATCATGTTAGGCTGTAAGGCCTGGGAGGGGGGGAAGGCTTTCAGGGAGAAGGGTCACAAGATTTCTCTATAGCATTCCCCACTTTAAAGTGTCAAGAAGTCCTAGAGAGGTAAAATTGTAAAATCATAAAATCATAGAATCATAAAATAGTTTGGGTTGGAAGGGACTTCTAAAGGTCATCTAGTCCAACTCCCTGCAATGGGCAGGGACATCTTCAACCGGATCAGATCACTCAGAGCCCTTCCCAACCAGACCTTCAATTTTTCCAGGGATGGGACATCCACAACTTCTTTGGGCCATCTTTTCCAGTGTTTCACCACCCTCATTATAAAAAATTATTGCTTATATCCAACCTAAATCAGCCCTCTTTTAGTTTACAACCAGTACCCCTTGTCTTACCACAACAGGTCCTGCTGAAAAGTCTGTTTTCATCTTTCTTATAAGCCCTATTTAACTACTGAAAAGCCTCAACAAGATCTCCATGGAGCCTTCTCTTCTCCAGGCTGAACAATCCCAGCTCTCTCAGTCTGTCCTAATAGGATCAGAGCCCTTCTGATCATCTTTGTGGCCTCCTCTGGACTCACTCCAGCAGGTCCACATTCTCCTTATGTTGGGCCCCAGAGCTGCTGCAGCCCTGCAGGTGGGGTCTCAGCAGAGCAGAGCAGAGGGACAGAATCCCCTCCCTCCCCTGCTGCCCACGGTGCTCTGGATGCAGCCCAGGACACGTTTGGCTCTCTGGGCTGGGAGTGCCCATGGCTGGGGCCTGTCCAGCCTCTCATCCAGCAGCATCCCTAATCCCTACTAAATCTTGATTTCGGGATAAGGCTTTGACATGGTCCCCTACAACATCCTCCTCTAAATTGGAGAGATACAGATTTAATGAGTGTGGAAATAATTGAGCGACAATTAAGATTTAGTAGGGATTTTTAGCTCTTTCCAAAACTCAGGAGCCAGGCACCTGGTATCCTACTGCGATCATATCCAGTTAACCTGAACTGGTGGGTGGGTGCCAGCAGTGTCATCTCCGGACACCAGGAAGCTCTTCCACAGCTTCAATTTCACTGTTTCATCTAGCTACCACACCTGGTCTGAGCTTGGTGAGCCACCACAGCGAGTGTTAAGGATCACATCCTCTTACCAGTTTGATCACCTCATGTGCTGCCCACAGTTGTGATCTCAGGACTTCACATTTCCATTAAGCTGTAAGTACAATGACACAACTCTACATCACCTTTGAAATGACACATGGAATTTAATAACAGATAAAGAATTAGATGCTTATTAGACTCTTGAATCCAAGTACAGCAAATTACTATTTGTCTCCTACTAACAAACACCATTCGTTTAATCAGTAAGATTTTAGCAGAGTATTTCCTAGGGAAAATGACTCTTTTTTCACCTGTATGATGACCCTCAGCACCTGCTCATTAAATGAGCAAGGTAACAGAGTTCAGTGGAAGCCTGGAGATAAAAGAGGTTTACCTCCAAACATCAAGTTTCTAAGTACTAGGAAAGAGAAAAAGCATGCAACCCCGTACAGCTTCATAGAATCACAGCAGAAAGCAGCAATTTTACAATACTATAAAAAATAATAACTACAGGTATTAACTATGCATTTGAAGACAGTGAATAGCAAATTCTATGAACCCATGACTTGGCAGGTATCTATCTCTAGGCAATTGGTAATGTTTAATACAGCAAAGGAAAAACATCAAACAAGAATTAATGGATTCAACTTTTCAGCACATACCCATGAAAGTCTCTCTGTGATGAAGGGAAAGATTTGCAGGAAGGGTAAAAGGATGTGGATACTGTAGTCTTAACACTTACTGTACCAACATACTGGATGGGATTCAACCAAGAGTTTTCTTCTTTGTGTTATTTAATTAAAACCAAGAAAGAAGATCCTTATAATCTTAACCTCACAGCATTCACATCAGAACAAAGATTAAATGTATGCCTTGGCAGCCTGATTACACCAAACAAACCACTATTCTTGTTAATTTCAAATAAGGCTTTCAATGGGAAAAGTGAAAGATACACAAAATCTAAAAATTATTTCAATTATTATGAAAATTTCTCTTTCATTCTCTGTGATGGTGATGGGCAACTACAGATGACTTCTGACTACCTGGATGGTTTGAATAAGCAATAGCAATTTCTATATGTGCCACATTTTGCAACAAACTGGGAATGTTGTAAGAAAACAGAAAAAAATATTAACAGAGTTTAATGCAAAAAAGTCAAGTCAGTTATTCACATACTTATATTACTCATAGGTGTAACATAACTCTCCTACTCATTTGCTTCACTGGATATTGGCAGGTTAATGTTAATGGCTGCCCTGAGGTTAGCCCAGAACAGGGCACAATAAGTAATTTCAGATCCATGAGAGTGCCACAATTCTGGAACAACTCATCTGTCAGGGCATTGTGAGAAAAATTTAAATACTGAAATGAGCTTGTTCTATTGGGACAAAGCATGTGTGGCATATATGCATCAGCTATTGTCAAATTGGCAATATTCATCTCTGAAAACTGTCTGTATAGAATCTCCTGGTTGAAATAATAAACCTTATTACGAACATGCTCCAAAGTTAATGCTTTCATGGTGCCATCCAAAGAGATTAATTGTTCCACAGAGCTTAATAGGGGTAGAAATGCATATTCAGTTGGCTCCTCCAGTGGTCCCCTAAAAGTCAAATTTCTCACAGTCAAATGTTCCACAGGTGAATACCAAATAAGAAGAAAAATTTGCAGGATTATAGCCCATTGTAAGTCCACCGCATCAAGTGTGAGAGTTGTTGTCTTGATTTTCTTCAGAAGCATTAAAGATGGAGAGGGGAAGTCTTTATAACTCAAGGTATATCTTAAGTTAACTATTTTTAAGTTTTCTGAAGTGCTCATTCCATCGTACAGGAGAGAAAAAATGAAGTTTTGGTTTGCTGCAAAAGCGATGTGGAGGTTCCTTGTAGTCAAGACTGTCAGACTCCGAGGCTCATACAGTGAAAAGTTTCCCAAGTTCAGGAAGACAGTGTGCAGCTGCAAGTGTTTGATATACCTGAAGTCTGACATTCTTATCATCGTAGCACTTAATCCAAGGTACTCCAAATGAAACATGTTCCCAAATTCCTGACAGATGGGCAGGGCAGTAAACTTATTGAAAGAAAGATCTAAATGTCTAAGATATGCAAGTGTTAGACAGAAAACTTTTGAAATGTTATTATGAGATAAATCCAAGTATTCTAAATTTTCATTAAAAATGAAGACACTAAAGTCAAGCACCGTAATTAGATTATGAGAAAGATTTAGTACTTGAAGGTCCGAAAGATGAATAAATTCTGAGGTACTAAGTCCAGAGATCCTATTATGTGATAAATCTAATACTTGAGTACAGACTGGAATGTTTTTTGGAACATTAGCTAGCAAACTGTTTGAATAATTTGCAATAAATTCATCTTCTACAGTTGGCTGAATGTTATTCCATAGTGTGAATGTAAAGGCACAAGTAAAGACATAGATATTTGTGAGGAATCTCATTATGCTATCCAGCTTTATCTAGGTTTTTTACAGAAACACAGAAGCATGTCTTTGTTTTCTGTTCAATATGTCCCACTGATGAGTCCAGCTCTATGAAAAAAAAAAAAAAACCATGAAATTGAATTAAGCTGTTGAATGGTGGAAGCTGCTTTTTTATTGTGAAAATAAACTTCAATATAAAATCTATGTAATAAAAAAATATTTTTACATACTCCTGTTTTCAGTTCTTATCAATCATCCTCACTCCAGTTCTTTAACTCTAATTATTGACTCAGTCAAATATAAATTAATTCTCTTATAATGGGGGGAATGCCACTGGTATGTTAAAAACACACAGATGTTAAAAAATACAAATTTCTCAGCAATCATGAAAAAATACAAAACTGGTACAAACCAACATCAATGCATTTATGAATAAAGGAGAACAAACATCAAAATAAAGGAGAACATCCATCTGCTGTTTCTATACTTCCCAAGTTCACACAAATTTGGGAACAAAACTCCAATAAAACCACCCTCACAGGAACTGGTGCAAAAACAACCTCTTCACTCAAAGGATATTCTTCTTCACACCCCATAGACCCTGGACATTGCCATGCACCCTCTCAGGGTCAGATTATCAGCTTTCTCCTTGCTATAGCACAAAGACATAAGAGTCCATTTTTCCAAGAAGCCAAGAATTCTGAAGAATTACACTGTCCATTGTATTCGGTTTGTATGGCAAGGTTTTGGTAGCAGGGGGACTACAGGTCTGGTTTCTGTGAGAAGCTGCCAAAGGCTTCCTCTGTGTTCCATAGAGGCAGTAGCAGCTGGGTTCAAGGCCAAGCTCATCCACAACTTTAGTGGTGCCTCTGGGATAACATGGTGAAGAAGTGGGGAAAAGCCCTGGGAACAGCAACTGCATGGAGCATAAACAACTCATAAACAGTTTCAGGAGACAAACATCCCCAGTTTTATTTTCTGTTCTGATTTTTCTCTGTTAAAAAGATCTAAAACTCCAGAGTTTTAAAATTCTGTCCCTGTGTAATCTTTTGTTAAATAGAAACCAAAAACCCTTTTATTTCAGTTCTAGGTTATAATGTGTGCTAGACCCTAATAATTTGACTAACTGATATAAAAACTCAACCCTTCCCATCCAAGTTTTCTATCAGGCTCAATCCATTTCTTTCTTAATTAACATCACCAAAAGCATTAAAAGAATAAATCACTAAAGTATTTCTACCTCAATTGAATCCAATAGAGAGGCCAAATTACACCTTCAGAAAGTTGTGCTAGGGTATCTGAGGACACAAAAGAAATGAAGCTGGGATGGTTGGTCAAAGTACAGTATCAACTGCACACCAAAACAAGACCAGGAAATCTGACCCAGCTCCTTCAAAGTGCAGTCGGCTCTGCTCTTCAGAGTCCAGGCTGATAATCTAACTCTTGAATCAAACAAACTTTGATCTAGAACTATCTGGAGGAACTTCCTCCTGGGCAAAAGGAATGTCAGTAATAAAGCAAGAAATGTTCTGAAGGGAGAAAAAGCCAGAAATATATTCTCTGTCCATCTCCCAGCACCAGATGAGTTTTAATTTACTGTACATGCTATGCTAAATACTGCAACAAGGGACAAGCCACACTCTATAGCCCTGAAGAGTGCTACAGTCAAAGAGCAAAGCAAATATATCTAGAAAAGCAATAGTTAGGATCAAGGGTTACCCCTCTAATCCTGTTCTAGAATGGTATTAAATTAGAGTTGGTTGAGAATTAAAACTGCCATACCAAATTATTTTTCTCCCTTTCTTCTTTGCTGAAATTCACATGAGTGTTTCCATTGAAACTTCAAAATGCAAAAGTGTCTTCCAACATCAAAGAAACACCAGCACCTGAGATTTGATGAAGTCCAAGATATACATATATCAAAGAGAAAATTATTATAAATAATGAAGCAAATATAACCCACCTTTTGTGCATGGAATTCATCTTCAAGTTGAAGAACCAGCAAAAGTCCTCTGCATACTTGATCAGCATCCTCAAAATAGAATTTCAGACATATGTAATCTTCAGGATGGGGAATATCACATGAGATGCTGATTCCTCAATAATTACCTACCTTGGGAAGCCAAAAAACCAGGTCTTTTTTAAACAAGATATACAATTCTAAGAATTAATGATACCTCCTTACAATGCAGGTATTAAGAGCACAATGAAAGGAAACTTTTAACAGTTCAGACTAAAAATACATTTACTCCTGTAATATTTACATAACTAGCTGGTTTAAGAGGAAATAAACCTAACTGTAGTATAGAATATTTCCCTTGGCAAGACTGTTCAAGTTCAAGTCTGCTTCTGATGTTACACAGAGGTTCTAGAAATCCGTCAACTGCATCTCCTCTTTGCACACACAGAAAAGAGGAAGCAGAACCCTCACTGCCAACTTTTGTTCATATCAAGATCTCTTGCAGAGCTCTACCCTTCCAAAATTTTTTGCTCATCAAGGAGAGCAATTAATGTAGTCCACTACATTAATTGTGGACTACAATGATGGATGACATAAGCTTATATCTCAAAAGCTAGTAACAGGGGCAAACTGGCACAGTTAAAAACCTTTACAGGCCAATCATCTTTACACTAGAATGGTTATCAAGGATACCTCACATTGTGGCTTACTCCAAAAAATTACAAAAATTAACAGAGAATATTCCCTATGACAAGACAGCTGTAATGAAGCCGCGAAGAATATGGCACAATATAGGGCAATCTGGGGCTGAAGGATGTCACCATTGAGCCAGAAATGACACAAATTCACTTGAAGGCTGGTTTGCAGAAGAAGCGCATTTAATATGAAAAATCCTCTCTTTTATAGACAGATTTGACACATTCTACTTGATTGGCTAGCTAGCAAAAACATCTTTCTCACAAACAGTCTTTGAGAACAGAAAAACAGAGTAGAAAAACACCACCTGCAGGTTGTTTATACTAACAAGTTATCATCGTTTCTATGACTCCCTAAAAAGTCTCACAAGTCCACTGTGAAAAACTAAACCCATTTTCTCGCCCTCTGACCAGGCTGTTGCATCCACAGAAGGACTCCAAGAAAGCATCCATTCGGTTAATATTGTGAACAGGAACATGAGCCTGGGAGACAATCAACATCTGTGACCCAAGATAAGACCAGGGATGATGAATGTTTCTCAGTAAAGCAGCAAGAGTGTTTGCCAGCTGATACCATCTAGACTCCAAGTCAAAAGAGATGCTTCTATTGGTAGGCATTAATCAATCCATGATACTGAATAGAGTAAGGCACTTGTTGACTAAACAATGATACCACAATTAGCCAAAACAGTGGCAGCTTTGCTTTGAATATAATTCCTAGAAAAAAATTTGCTGCATGGTTAAAATCAAAAACACCATCAGCTTTCATCAGAACTGACTGCAGTGCACACACAACTATTAAAACCACCTTTTAGTTGTAGTATGTTTAAATTTTTTACCACCTTTCTTTATGAAGCTTTAAAACACATTCAAATAAACAGTATGCCCTAAAGAAAAATTTGCAGATAGTTAAAATAAAACTGATACTCCTGAATACCTCTGTAAAACCATTAGGAACCTTGCATAATTTAATTTTACTAACCACTTCAGCAAAGTTTTGTTTGGGGCTGGTTTCAGTTTACTGATTCAGTCATTTTTCATGACAGGCAAAAACTAAAAGCAATGTATTTCTGTTCATGCATCTCAAAATGTACCAGCTACATACCATCCTTTCCATAGTCAGCTCACACATGTTCATGCAGATACCTTGTTCCATTTCTGAATTTTACATTGCTGGGGTTTTTTGCAGTTTGTTCTATTCAGAGTTCACAAAAAGACACTTCACATTTCTGTCATCAGTATTTACCCAGAGAGGAACCACAACTACCCCTGGCCAGGTATGAAAAGCTATTCAGAACCAGCACCATGCCAAAAGTGTGAAGAATCTCTCTGACAAGAACTGCAGAAGGGAACTTAACGTGTGCAAGACATGGGGTTAAAGCAGTCACAGCAGATTAACTCATCAAAGCACTCATGAAAAGTTAATACAATAATTAAAGGTCTGCAACGTTGGTGTTTGGTCACATGAAGGACTTTAACTGTAATTGTCATTGTCACCTGTATGTCAAGTAGGTGAAAAATGGCTAAATGCCACCACAAGTCAAAGTGAGCAGACACTATCACATTTATGCTCAAGCTAATTTTGCTTTGGTATAAATAGACACAAGGATCAAAGCTGTGGAAATCAAACTGGTAATGCAGAGCCACCTTGCAGAACACACAATTTTCTCACTTACTGATTATAAATACTGTTTTCTCTTGACAAAACAGTGACTACAAATGAGCATTATAGTTAATCTCACCAAGTATTTCCAAAAGAAAAAACAGACTAACCAAAGCCTTGCATAAAAACATGGGTTTCACAGAGGTTTTGAACCCTCCTCTCAGCAGAATCTCCCAGAGTTCCATTATTTTCCCTTTAGTGCCTTTCCTTCCTCTAACTCTTCGCAGCTAAAGTTCAATGAAGGTGTTTTGTAGCATTCCTCAATCTAAAGAAGAGCTGAGCTCTCAGCAGGCAACTCACATTGTGTCAAGTCTGCCTGTCTGTCAGTTTCCTTTATACTATACACTACTTAAATAGACATAAAAACATTTCCATTTTTACACTTGAATTTCATTCTGCACACTTTTTTTTATGTTCGGAGGGTGTTTAACTCCCATGTTATCAGTTTTGTATGTTGATATTTTTATGTATGTAAAAATAGCATTCCTGCTAGTCACCAAGATGACTAATCAAATGCCAGGAATCTGCTCTGATACAGTATCTGGTATCAGAACACATTTACACACTCCCTTTTCCTGATAACTAGAGTGCAGCAGCAGTTAGTGCAGTACCAAATGCAGGCACACATCACCAGGCTGCAGAAAAAAGGTTAGTCCCTTTCCAAACTGTGCAGATAAACTGGCTCATGTGTTGGGAGACTACACATGGCCCCATGAACACGGAAAAATTTCTTCACGGATTAAAGCTGGTTTTATAGAAAGGGTTGAGAGTATGACAGAGACTGAGATAATTGTTTGAAATATTCTAATAACACTGGAGAAACTCATTCTCTCTTGTGGAATCAGAGAAATTAGCTCTAATAATTCATTGCAAGTTCAGCTGTTTAATCAATTTTTTGATACATATAGAAAAAGAAAAGATAATAGTATGTGGGCTTCTGGTTCCAAAGTACAAGTTTTAATTGATGCCCATGCTCATTAAAAGCCACCCTTTCCAATTTATTCATTCAAGGATTTTGGAATCCAGAAACTTGTAATACCAGAGAGTTGTAATTATATACTTCTGCTTATGGTAACATCAGCTACATTCCCAGAGGTCACATAGTTCCAAGTTCTTTCCAAACTGACAAACAAATCTTGCTTGCCTTGTTGAAACCTTCCACTCCTTAATTTCTGGTAATGGCTATGGCTCCCACATGAGTAACGGGAAGGTTTCTCGGAAACTCTCTGACTTTCAGAGTGTTTCCCTGTCTTCCAGCCAACAGAAGCCAGATAAGTTCTTAAGGTTACATACAATGGGATGTTAATTGTATCGCAGAAGTTTCAAGAATTACTGGCCTAAAACTCTGAGGTTTTGAAGAAAATTTTCAAGTAAGGTACCACATAATCCAGCTGTCCCTGGTTGTGAGAAAGGGATAGGCAAAACAAACTAATCATCTTCAGTTTCACACTGAAGCAGTAGTGGGAGGGGAAGAAGGAAGCACAGAAAACATTTATTTCCACAGTCCTGAATGAAATGTCTGCAATTTGCAGGTGTGTTATATTAATTTTGAGGCTAAGTGGGATGAGAGAGCTAAAGGTGTTAAATTTGACCTTTTTTCGACAGGTCATAAACAGTCACAGTTCAAGGCTTCAGGTCAAGAAATCTCAGCTTGCTTAGACCTCAGGCAAAAAGAAGCATCAAAATTAAAACCTTTTGTTAGTAATGGAAGACAGAAATAAGATAAAAAGTAAATATTCTATACTACATGAGGATTTCATCACAACATCCCTTTTCTCTCATTTACATGTTGAAAAACATTTTTGAAGGGAAATTTCCTGCTTGATGGAGGAAAGTCTGGTATTTCAAAAAATCTTCCTTTGTTCATCTAAGTCTGGTATTTCAAAAAATCTTCCTTTGTTGGGGCAAAGAGGAAGCTTGCTGTCATCATCTTCAGCAGTTGTGAATGTTTGTCTGAGCCCAGGCAGGCTTTCTTCAAGCTAAAACAGTGTAAGTACAGACAGAGGGGCCTGCTATGTATCTGTAAGTAAACATAGTTTGTTTTTCTAACTCAGTGAATAAACCATTAAATTACCTACTGTCTCAAGACCTGGGAAATTCTTTCAGGCTCTGACTGGTTATTGACTTTCTGACAAGTCATAGCCATGCTACAAGAGATACTGTTTCAGCAGAAAAGGACAGATTCTTTTAATAATAAGCATAAAGTAAGATATATGGCAAAGAAGACAAAAGGTGGAGGGAATAATGCATGATTTAGAGATGTCAGGAGTTTCTCAAAACATAGACAATATGATGAAGGCAGCTCTGTTACTGCAGATGCAGTAACAGAGCATCCCACCCCCTCAGGTCAGGGTGGTAAAAATGGATCAAAATGGTACCAGGACTTTATGAGTATCAGAGCTCTGTCAGTTCACTGCTTCTCCCTTGCTGTAATGCCACGCTAAAAAGTGAAGTACCTTTTTTTTCTTTAAAAAAAAACCCCAAAACTTATCTTCCTAGCTCAAACATTGTTTTTGGCAAGTTCCAAGTTCACAAACTTCTGTGTCTGGATCCTCTCCTTTTATCCACCAGACCTAAGCAAAAACTATTTGGCCATCATTTTGAGCTCTGGACTTCAGGCACCTTCTCAGGATCATTAATTTTCTTTCACAAGAACCAATTTTAGCAAAAGATCTCCTTTGACAAAGCTCTATCAATTTTGTGATTAAAGCAGCTCTGCAAACTATCCAGCAGCTGAAGCACTCTTCCACATGACTGTACTAACTGCTCCAGATTTTAGTCTGCTGAGAAAAACTCACTACAATATTTCAAGTCGTATTTCAAAATCCACATTCAAATTCATTTGCAATTTGCAATCCCAAGAGATTTGCAATAAGATTAATTGAATTTTGACTACAGGCAGCAACACAGACTAGTTGGAAACAAGATCGTGTAACAAAAAGTTAAACACATTTACAATCAATGGAAATAATATTTATTATTTCACTGAGAAAAAACAGATGAAACTCTATTAGAAAGATTCTTAAACTGTTTCCTCATACAAGTTTTCATCAGCTTTTGGCAGGTTAATGTTAATGGCTGCCCTGAGGTTAGCCCAGAACAGGGATTAATGTCTCCAGCTGAAGTAGGTTATCACATTTTTGAAAAAGAAAATCTGTTAAATCATTCTTTAAAAAATTTAGGTATCTAAAGGGACTCTTATATGAAGGACAAAGCATATGAATCATTTCTGAATCAGCTATTGTCATGTCTTCAATATTCATGTCAGCAAATATTTTGTACAGGTCATCCTGTGTGAAGTACATGTCCGTGATTATCATCTTCTTCATTGTCAATGCTTTCATAGAAGTACCTGAGTAGTCAAAGTCATAACTTTCAACGTCTGACAGTTGTGTTACATTGTATGTATTGAAGTATTCAACGGATGAGTGCCATACAGTCTGAAAAATCTCCATTAGATCATTCCACTCCACTGACACATTTGCCAATGTCAGATTTTGTAACCTGGATCCTTGTCTGAAATTAGATAACAAAGCTATCAACTTTTTTGCATCGTTACGTTTGATTTCTGACAATGACAGGCTTTCTGTAGTATTTTGTATCACAACCCAACTGGGCTGATGACTCTTTGTATACTGGAGTGGCAGACTCGTGTTTTTTTGATTAGAATCATCTTCTGGAAAATTGTTGGAAACAGATGTAAAGAGTTCATCTTCTACAGACAGGCTGACATGATCCCCCAAAGTTAATGCAAACAGACACTTGTACAGAAAAACGTGTCTGAGAAAGCTGGTATTTAGTGTCATACTGTTTTTTCTTTCCTTGCAGGTGCTCAATACTTTTCTTAACTGTCCATCTTTGTTCCAATCCTGTAGAAATTAAAGAAACACAAGCAAAACCACATTGCATTATTAAGTAGCTGTGCAGGAACCATCAGTCAGAGTGATTTTTTTAAGGTTCCCGTTTCTCATTTCTCCGTCTGATTCAAAAAGCAATGATTTTCTACAATCATTCAGGAGATACCTTCTTTAGTAGCAGACCACTGAAATTTTTACTTGGCAAAAACTGTGTATTTAACAAATAATGAGTCAGTTTTTTACAAAACATGTCTTATTTCATAGGTGTCTAAAATTTGTTGCTTACTTACAGAATTACTGCTGTGATACAGTGCATTATGAAGGCTTCCTAAACTGTGTAATACACTGATTATAAAATACAATAATTGGTGTCAACACATCATCCTCTCCTCAGATTCTCTCTTAAGTGATGTGAACTGGGCTCAGAGACATTATTTTAAAATGGACTTTTGACAGTAACACTTGGACTGAAACATAGGATGGAGGTTCAAGAGCCTGAATCAAAAGCTGAATGTCTTTAGATAGCTGAGACTGGATCATCAGTGCCTCTTTTAACTAGGGAAATGGGGGTGAGGGTAGAATGATCTATATTTATGCCTTGGGAAAGCACACAGAAGGGTTCACTTCTTGTCTGAGCTTAAGCATTTCCTGAATTTAGACTCTGAAAGTGGGGTGGTCACACCTGGTTTGACAAGTGTACAAAGAGAACACCAGACACACACTGGGAATATTTGTAGGCTACACAAAAATATACATATAGATGTAGAAGCTCTGTACACAAAATCTAGCCCTGGTCTAAGGACACTGACCTCAAACATCTCTGTTGTGAAAGAGAGGTTTATTTAAACAGACTTTAAAGGGAAAAAATCGTAACTGTGTCTTTGCTTTGGTCTTCCCTATTAGAGGTCACTTTTTCTTTCTGAATGTAGGAGTTTAGGATAGCCAGCCTCCCTTTGTTTAAGTTAGCCATTGAGAATACTGTCTTAAATCTCCTTTTAGGTATTGCATAAATCCATTAGACCACCCATCTAAAAGAGGAACTGGTGAGAACTTGGTTAACAATTTTACATGTGTAAATCTTATTTAAAGTTGTTTTCCATATTTCTAATATCTTTTTATTTCCTCTTCTTTCCCCTTCCCTCCCATTAATTTTAAATCATAATGTTGCCTGAGGTTTCCCGTGGTACTTTTTAATGACTGCACTGGCCTTCAACTTTCCCTTGATATTGAAGGGGTTAAATTGTGAGTTTAATATTTCTAATGACTCTACAATGAGACAGTAGCTATCACCTAACAGACTGATTTATAACTTCAAGGACTACATTCATGGCACCATTAACCATTCCATTAAAAAAAAAAAAAAAAAGCCTGCTGAGTTATTTTGTAACGAGTGCATGAAACTAAGCTTGGAAGTCATCTAGAAATAGTGGGGTAATACGGCAAAACTCTTCCAGCCTTTTTCCAAATTCTCATTTGGAAAAAGTATATGCATCACAGCCCTCAAAAGGCTTTTGGGCATATTCAGTGCTGTTCTTCTGATTGTTTGGGCAACTCTACTAATGTGTTTATAATTAACCAAAATATGTAGCTTCAAGAGAAATCTGAAAAAAATCTACCTTTAAATCATTATTCCTTCTTTGGATAAAATTTCAGTAATATCCATGGACTAGATAAAAAAAAAAGATAGGATTCTTCTACATCTGTTTTATTTTCTTTCTCTTTCATATATCCTAACATTCAGTCAAATTATTTATGAGTACCTACAAAATTTCTTTAGAATATCATATGAAGCAACACAAATAAAAACTTTTATAACATATAACCTGTGATTTGGAGGCTAATACTGTAAAAATTATCCTTCATAGTCATATCACTTTTAATTCAGAAGTATCCTCATGTCTTCAGACTTGATAAAAAAAGCTTAATCAAGAAAAGAAATCCAGGAGAGTAGGCAAGCCAAGAGCATAGCAAGAAAGTGTCCTGTTGTTTAAAGAGCAGGGGGAGAGATAAAAAATGAGGTTTTAAGAGTTTTTCCAATATAAAACTGATATAAACTGACTAAACTTCCATATAAGAAATATACAGAACACATTTAGCTAAGACAGTTCTGCAATAAGACATGCACTTCACACGTTACCAACATAGCAAAAAACTAATGTTACAAACATTCCTTTCACAAGGATGAAACACATGATCAGGTTAGATCCAGTTCCTGAACTGTAGAAAACTGTAGAAAAACTACTGCCATCACTCTGCCCCCCCTTAACCATGGGTATAGTGCTAATAAAAAGAGACTGCTACTTGGACAATTTTTTTGGACAAATATTCCGAACACAAGCAACTTCACCATCGTTGCTTACCCATACACTTGAAAGAACATCATACACTTGCCATGGAAAACAAGGCTCATTTTCAAATAAGATACAGAATATAAAACAATTACAGCTAACTAGTAACAGCACAAAGTCAACAAAATTAAAACTTTTCTCACCAGAAATCCCTGCTGTCCAAAAAAGCAGTAAATGTTCTCAGGGAGACAAAAACAAACTTCCTGTAACTCTATCCTACTGAGTAACAATACTTAGGAACACCCAAATTTTTATATACATGTTTGTGCCATCTACTGACAGCTTGTGAAATGGCATTTGCTTTTCTCCAGATGTATTTTTCACATACAACATTACTGTAATATCCCTACTATCCTATTATTATTGAACTTTGTGGTTTTATGCTTTGCAATATATTAAACAGGAGAAAAATGAATCTTTTTACCAACTTTCTACCTTCATTATAAGTACCTCTTTCGAATAAGAAATTCAAATGCCTTTCTATCTGAACTTCATACTGATCTAAGTCTCTATGCATTATTGTAATTTTTTGTCCATTTTGCTATACCAATTTAGTTGTCAGACTCTTATCAAGGTTGGTTTATAAAAGTACCATTTGTCTTAGTTTAATTTCCATTTAATGGGAATGGAATAATAATCCCTCTCCTGCTCCAGCAGTGTTGTCATTGGGTTAAACAGCGAACATGGAAACATTGAGTGGAGTTTGGTTTGGTTTTTTTTTTAATTAAAACAGAGCAGTGACTTTGGTACTGAATGCCCAAACACAGGCTTATTGTCCTGGCAAAGATATAAACCAGCCTCTCTTTATTTCTGTATAACGTTGGTTAGAAATTCCACCATCGTTGAGATCTAAATACAGAACTGCCACACTATAACCTACCTTTCTGGGTTAGCATATCATAACACATTCATGATTTAATATTTCAATGATTCAGGAAGCAGAGGAAATAGTCTTAAATTCAAAAAAGTAGTTTAGGAACTTACAAAATGTATGCATCCTTATATCCAAACAGACAGACATCCACATTCATACACATATAATGTTAATTTTACCCTTAGGTGGTAACTTTGTGTTACAACAGTGATTAACTATGTCATTAATAACATCTTGCAGTTCTATGACATGCATGGTTATCTAAAGCATCTGCAAAACTGACAGTGGAAGATCCACATTACAGTCAAAAATATCTGCCATAGGTTAATCTCCAGCTACCATGATTCCTCCTGAGATACTGCTCTTACACTTCCACAAGCTCCACTGAGAAGCAGAGGGAAATCCCTAGGGCCACTCTAGATTTCATTTTCAATAAATATATCTAACATTAATAAATTACCCAGCATTCCCTGACACTTAAATTCTCACTGAAAGACCTTCAAAAGAAACTTATTACGTAGGGCTACAAACATCTGGTCTGCTACCAACTGCCTTAATGAGAAACTTCAGAGACTTATGCCTGGTAAAGTCACGTAGCATGATCGGTATTTGTAAAACACGCTTCTGAGAACTTTTGTGACCTCTTGGAGTAGCTCTCCTCAGTGGCTCACAATGTGCTGGTTTGTCTCCTGTGTCAAAACTTCTCTCGTTGAGAGACTAATGAGAGAAACGAGGCTGCGTTGCCTCTTAGCACTGTAAAGGGCATGCTTCGCCTTAAAATGAGGTGGCAAAAAGAGGAACGGGTATGAGGAATTTACACAGAAACAGGAACCACAGGCTGGTGGGAACAGCCTGAAACCCCTTTGCTCAACCAAGTGTTTCACCAACTGACTGGAAATGTGTGCAGGCACCGCCGGCTCCTGCCAGGGGCATTTCCTGTAAGCACAGCCATAACGGAGGTGCCAAGCGCTATCTGAAAAGCTGCATCTCCCTTCAATTCCCCAATCCCACGGGTCTGTAAGTGCTCACTTTGAGGAACGAACCGGCTTCCCAGCGAAGTAGTCACAGCACCAAGCTTGTCCAAGAAACGTTTGGACACAACGCTCTCAGGACGTGGTGTGATTCTTGGGGTGTTCTGCACAGGGCCAGGAGTTGGACTCGTTGATCCAGACAGGTCCCTTCCAACTCAGCATATTCTATGATTCTATCAAATTCACGCCTTTTCCGCCTCAGCGCGGACGCGGGGGTGCCGCCGGCCCTGAGGGAAGCGCTGCTGCAGCCGCGCCCGACGCTCCGGGCCGGCGCTTCCAGCAGAGTCCCGCCGGGCCCCGCCGCGTCCCCCGCGCCCCGCGCCGACGGCACTGAGGGGCGGGCATGGCGGCCGGGGCAACTCCCCGCGCTGGGTCACAGAAGCCTGGAGCCCGGGGACAGCTCGGCCCCCTTTACAACAAACGGCCGCCTCACACAGCCGGAAGGGGAGAGAGGGACAAAAGCCAGCACTCCCTCCTCCCCGGGGCCGGCCCGGGCTGCCTGGCCCGCTCTGCCTCCTCCCCCCGCTGCTGCCGACGTGGCGGGGCGGGGAAGGAGCCGGGGGCGCGCCGGTCGGGGCACTGCTGAGCGGTAAGGAGCGCGGCGATTTCTGCATTTTCTGCCGCTTTTGACACTGGCTGCGCCACACAGCTCTGTCCCAGAGGGGAATTTCGAAAAGGGAAAAAAAGAGAAGGAGAAGCGGGAAGTTGTGGCCGCTGCGGGCTTGCGGGAGCGGCGCCCCGGCTGCTCCTGCCCCGCCTGGGGCAGGGGGCAGAGGGCAGCGGGACAGGGGGAGCTGCCGCCGGCGGGCGCCAGGGGAGGTTCGCCTGCGCTCGCCGTGCCCGCAGCGGAGGAGAAGCAACAGTGGGCGTTGAGCGAGAGGGGAGCAAGGTGCTATCGCCAAAAATGTTATTCCTCCCTCCCACTCGGGGACGGTGATTCGTGCCCCAAAGGGCCCGGCGGCAGCCGAACTGTGCTTTCTAGGGGAGATGAAACTCCTCAGACAGGCTCGGCAGGTGCCGCCACCGGCGGCCCCCTCAGCGGGGCCGGTCTGTGCGGGCCGGGCACTCCCCCGCCACCGGGCCGGGCTGGCCTTAGCATCTCCCTCACGAGCTCCCCGTAGAGTAATTCCCTTTGGGCGGAGCTGTCCGAGTTGATTTGGATCAGGACAGTCTCGCGGATGAGAGGTTGAATGACGCTGACCCCGGGTGCAGCACGGCTCGTGTGTTCTGGCAGGCGCGGTAATTTGCTGTTTTGTGCCGTGCTCCTGGAAGGAAAGTTCAGCACACAACCGCAGGGACCGTGGCCCGAGTGGTACCCAAAGATGACCCAGTACTGCAAAATTCCACGTGCACGTCTGTGTGATCCTTTAAAAAATGTTGGGCTTACTCAGAGCTAATGCCCATTCAAAATTATGAAGTGTGTGTGTAAAGGTTTTACAGGTTTTAATAGAGGATCCTCATATGTCATGATGGAATTTGATTTACAAATACAAAAATTTTCCTTAGGTGATGCTGCCCATCACACAGTGAGTACTGTTACAATAGCAATACTTCCCTACAATAAAGCATTTCATAATATTTGCTGTATTTTTAATGGAAAACTGTCAAAGGCAAAGATTCTGACTTCAGAATTCATGTTTTCTGAAGATAATTAAGGTACAGTATAAGCTGAAGTAATACAAGTGGTAGCAATTGCTTACTTTTTTACTTATGTTTCTTGTTCACTGATCCAAAGCCCTACTCTTGGAACTATTTAAACAAGTGGTCTACATTCACATTAGATAAACAGCTTACTAAAGCTAGATGTATACAGTTCTATAGACTTTAATAAAATATATTAATTTAAATACATGCTTCTCAGGCAGATTTCTCCTACATCCTAGTCATGTTTTGCCTTTTGCCTTTTTTTTCCCCCTGTTCTTAAGTCTCTCATACAACCTCCATTCTTCCTGACAGATGCAAACCTTTGAGCCATGTTTAATTAATATGAGAGTCAATGAAAAGGCAGCATCTACAGAGAGGACTTTTATGCCATGCAAGTCTTTTATGCCATGCAATTCAACATTTCACAAGCTCTCTGTCAAGGATTGTCTTCTGAGTGCCAAGTAAACTGTTGTTACCAGCAAATAAGTGTTAATAATCACAGACCAGCAGCCCTTTTGGACTCTGGCAGTGCCACTCCTTAATCAGCTGCAGAGCTTACTCTGTGGCTTTGTCTTTGCCCATCAGCATCCTCAGCCTGATGACTGCGCAATGGTAGAAAATACCTCCAAAATTACATTGGAAGATAAGGAATAAATAAGAGAAAACTGGTTCATAACTTACAAAAAAAAAAAAAAATCAGTAACTACCTCATAGAAGCTTACCTTGGCTTCAAAATTGAAGTTAATCAGACAGCTGGAATTTTAAGAGATGATGAGAAGTGTTACATTCCCCAGAGGGCAAGACTTTGTGACAAGTGATACGCAAACAGTGTGAGCAATGACTCTATGCTGTGGCTGTGTCTGTGAAATGGCTCTAGGGCCCATGGCCTGTCATGTTCACAGATTATGTCCCTTCTCAAGCACATGAATGTCACCACAGTTTTAGGTACAGAGTTATCCTCCCCTCTGTCAGTCAGCAGCCTGCAGGAACCTGTGTGTGTGGCAGCGATGAAAGGCAGAGCAGGAGCTGCTTGCTATTGCATTATTTTGTTTTGCAATGGTCTTTCATACGCACCTGATAGTGAATATAGAAATTAACCATGTGGCGACTCTTACCTTTGACTTCTCCAGACAAATTAATATCCTTTCACTCTCACTAAACCATATTTTGGAAAACAGTTATGCTGTCCTTTGTATTTGAGTGGGATCCTGCAGAGTGAGTGGAATATTTACAGTATTATCCCTACACCAGTGCCAGCGTGATGCATGTGCCACAGGGCTCCATGCCTGAGGAGGTCTTACATCAAGGTTGTATTGTTTTTCAGTAGTAGCATACGGTAAACACTGTGTATTTTATAATAAACACTCAAATGTTTATGGCATCTAAAAGACTTTACTTTTTATATTCAGAACTGAAAATGTCTGAAGACATATCTGATGGCACCCCATCTGAAGAAAAACCTGAAGTAATGGAGATGCCCAAAAATGAGGTATTGCCTCATGAATCAGTACCACACCTCATAGAAAATGAGATCTTGGGTGAGTCTTCACAAGATCAACATGGACAGGTCACTCAGAATGTTAGTAATGGAAAGGAGGGAGACATAGTCATTGATGAAAGCCCTTTGACTGAAAAACTCGTTGAAAGCCTGCCTTCCAACCTGCCTTCCAGTGAAGAGACAACTGAAGACATGCCCACCGAGTGCATTGAAACTGTAAGCCTTGATGCAGAACCTGAATTGGAAGAAACACCGCATGAGCAAAGCAATCCAGTAAGCAATACTTTCTTTTCTGTGAAAGCCCTCCTCTCCTTGCATTGTGAGGACAGAATTTTGCATAATGTACGTCCTGTTTTTCACAAAAACCTAGGAAGTTATGTGGAAAACCTACATAGGGATAAATTAAATTGCAACACCAAGCTTTTGAAAACTAGTAATAGTTTAATTTCACTTTCCAGCATGATTTTAATTTCGTCTTTCAAGTCTGGTTGCAATGAAACTTGCATTGTGTAGAGGTGATATGTTACTGGACACATTCTTGAGACAACAGTTGCTTAACATGATTTAAATATGGAATATGGATGATGGCTTAACACTACCCATTAGTGTAAAAGGTATGCAGCACCTCCTCTGGCTGTGTTTTTATTGAATTCAGTTGTTAGGAGTTCCCTGTGCACATCTACTGAATTACACATGTGAGGAGACTTCAGAAGAGAAGCCTCCAACTCTGGCTCCTGCCTCCAACCCAGGAAGGAGACAGGTTCCTACCTCTCCCTCATATTAGCCCTAATAAACTTGTATGGCTTTATAGGATTGGTACCTGAAGAAATATTAGGGCATCTGTAAAGACATCTCTGGAGTTTAAAGCTCTTCCAGGAACAGATGATGTGAACTATGCTTCTGCTTTTTTTGTGCATAGAAGTTTGAACTCCACATAATACCCAATCTGTCATCATCTATTAAATGCCAGACTTTGTTGCCTGGCAGGTTCTTTGTGTTTCCTCCTGCCTCTTGAGAACAAGATTTTTAGTGGAGTAACATTTTTGTTCTTATAGGCTGCAGACTCCTCATCTAAAGCAAGTAGATGGGGAGCTTGGGGTACCTGGGGAAAGTCTCTCCTGTCATCAGCTTCTGCCACAGTGGGTAAGTGTTCAGCTGGTAAAATGTGTGGAAATAATTAATAATTTTCATGTGTCATTAGACAGATCAGTGTTGCATCTTAAGGATTCATAGACAATTTTGCCTTGATAAGCTTGGTAAGCATGATTTTTTAAAGAGGAAGATGGACCTTCCTAATTATTCAAATGATGGATAAGGTACTAGGCTTATTTGTAAAGTTAATGAATTACTTGATTGTGACTTCTTCATAGAAAGGATCCATAATCCAGTACAGTTTCTATCAGCCAAAGGCTTATGGTTTCTCAAGTCAAAGCAACCCAGATTCATGCTCACGCATGTTAATGGTTTGTATGCCAGGTTTCACTCCTACCTACACATGAATTCACTTCTAGTAAATCATTCTAGCTTTTCTTGCCACCCAGTGAAACTGTCACACTGTCACACTAGATTTCAGACAGTAGAACTGTCTGAAAAAAAATAAAGCCATTGGGAATGTATTAAAACATGGGCCCTGTACTCCCTCTCCCTATACTCTCATTTCCAATAGAAGGTCAGTACAAAATGTCCTTGTGAAGACTTTAGGTAAAACTTAACTATTGCTCTTTGAAAGCTCACTGACAAAAAGCGAAGCATAGAAATATGTGGTTACCAGTGGGAAATAATTTCTCACAAACCAGAAATGTTTTGTAACAAAACAATCTGTTAGCTAGTCAGTTCGCATAAAGGATCCACTGAACACTTTCAAAAGATGAACCTAGGA